TAGGGTAATGTACCGAATCCGCGATCAACTGCTGGCTGTGTTCAGCTAATCGGATTGTACACCCTTTACAAACACATATGGGAGCCTACTGAGGCTTTTGTCAGTGGTAAACTAAAGCTGAACTTCGTATCGTCTACATGGAATTTCGCTTCTCAACCGGATAGTATAAATCTGTGACAAGACTAGGAAGATGCATTTAATAAGTTTTGGTTTTTTGCTAGTTTTGGTATCACGCGGAACTATCAACTCGTCTCATGTAGCAAATGAAGTGCCTTTGCACATCGGTTTTTTTTTCGAGCCTTTACCGCCCAATGCATCCCATGGTCTCTCTAATCGCATCACAGCTGACTGCCTTGTGAAATACAGCAATAGCAATGTGTAAGAATCGGGCTGAAAACTGGCATATCCATGATTCTGTTGCTCACAGTTTCACTTGAGTATCTTAATTTAAAACGCACATTCACGATTTAATAACTCGCAGCCCACTAACCTGGCCTTCGACAGCATGACGGAATTGGATGATTCAATTTAGTGTTATCTAGGTCATGTGATGACGTGATCGATCTACTCCTAAGGTAATCACAAGACTAATGTGACCCTTATTCCTGAGATCATGCGACCGTACCGCATTCAGTCACTGGGACAATCGCGTATGCTTCAGGTTTTTCATTCTGAACCACAGTAGAGTGCTATGAACTTTTATGCATTTGAAAAGGATATGAAATTTCGAAGAACCGGGAACTAAAAGGATGGTGTATTTTATAATAGGAATAGTCATTCTGTGTTTTATATTAGAAAATATTAATGTGTTTCAGCTATCGTTTCCTTCTCAATGATGAGAGTACTGAAATCTGAAGGGGTGTTTGGCTTTTTGGACATCTATCAAACGATCCAATAAAGTGTATACCTTTAAACAAGTAAAGAGTAAGACTGAGTGTGTGTGAATATTGATTCCCTTCTGAAAACGGGAAGTTCAACATCAGGTGTCTGATGGTTTACTCTAGTTAAGCATTGAATTAGTCGGAAACGTGTTCAGTCGCTTTTAATGATTCGTCTATCATACTTATCTCCTGATGTTTCGCATGTTCGTAGAGCTCAGTCGATCATTAGTTTCCAATAATCTCTGAATCAAATTATTACCCACAAACCCCGTTGGATCCAACCGAGAAGATCATTTCGAAGTTCCAGGGTCCGTGTAGTTTATTGAAAAGTATGAATGTTACGGTAGGATATTGGTCATAGGGGTTCTTTCATCCGTTTTGTACTCCAATCAATTTATTTCTTTTTCTGGACTAGATGGGAGCAAATTATTTCAGTTTTAAATGTGGTGATCGTGATCTTTCAATGTACCTTAGTCTGAGTTTGTTCCCTTATGTAGTCATGTTATTGCCTTCCTAGTGGTATGTTCACTTAATATTACACCAAATGTTTCCCTTATCACGCACAGTATATCAAAGCGTTTCTTTCCAAAACAATACTCAAACAAGATATTGCGGATGCTGAAAAGGAGAAAAAATTCGTCAATCCGTCATTCCTGTATGCACAAGTCAGCACAACATTTGTGGTTGCTGGTGCACTAGGCGCTTTCAGTTGTGGTTGGATTGCTGAACTTCTGGGTCGGTAAGTGTTATCTTGCCACGTATGCCATAACTGTCGTTCATTTAATAAATTATTGGTAGGACAATGTTTTAATCTGACACCAACACGCCAGAGTGTTACGAACAACATAATGCTCTGGTTCTATGCAGTTAATGACCAACTGTTCACGGGCACAGTTAGTGATGAAGCAGTCTATCAAATATAGTCTGAACTCATCCTCTCTTTTAGGCAAATAAGACTATTTTTGTCAGATTACTCACTCAAATCTAAATTTTTCTTGCTTTTTAGACGTAATGGCCTGATACTGAATCATGTATTCGCTATCCTCGGTGGTCTGTTATGTGGTCCTTGCGTGGTCGCAGAACAAGCTGCGTTGCTGTTCGTCGGCCGGTTTGTTTTGGGGATCAACTGTGGGATAACTATTGGTATTGCTTCAATTTACCTGACCGAAGTTGCACCTCGTGACCTGCGTGGCGCCATTGGAGCGTGCAACCAGTTGGCCGTTACCATTGGCATTGTTGTGGCTTACATTATGACCTTGTCGTATACGTTAAATACGGAGACCCTGTGGCCAGTATCTGTGGCTTTGGGAGCTGTACCTGCCTTCATTTCATTGCTGGTGCTCCCATTCTGTCCCGAGAGTCCACGATTCTTGTTCATGAAGAAAAACAACGAGGTTGAGGCTCGTAAAGCATTTGCTCGACTGAATGTACAAGAGAATGTGGAAACCTTCTTGGGTGAACTGCGAGAAGAGATGGAAGTCGCGAAAAATCAACCGGAATTCAAGTTTACTCAGCTCTTCACGCAACGCGATTTACGGATGCCCGTACTGATCGCGTGCTTAATTCAAGTGTTACAGCAGCTGTCCGGAATTAACGCGGTGAGTGATTGGGTTTGCGTAAGATAGCTTTGCGCAGACAGGTTTCACATTTGAGATGAATTTTGCTCTAGTTTTATTGGTCATTATAATCATGACAGTTTTGTAAACAACGGTGTTGATTGTTGTTTTTGTAGCTCGGGTAGTATAACTTGGTGTTCAGTTGTTCGCCGAGCTTGGCAATTGTATTGCAAACGTTTCATCACCAATCGAGGTGACATTCTCAATGCAGTAACAAACGCAGTAACACCATATTATAATCAAGATTATCGTCTATGTTCTTGAAATTCATTTCCGTTTTACTGCCATTATCTTCACACTTTCGAATGGCATTCTTTCACTGTTTTCATTGTCGATTTAGCTCAAAGAATAAACGGAAGAAGGATGAGAGGTACCATAACGAAGGTTCAGTATGAAGCTGACCCAGATTTACGGAGAAATTGAGTGGACGCATGAGTAACGTTGTTTACGACACTCAATCATGTCNTCATGTCTAATGGTCAGGGTTTTGAAACCCTCAAACTAGGTTTTAGTTTACTCATTTGATCTTCCACCCACTATCTGCCTTGGAAAACATAGCACGCTGGAGGAGCCGCCCTAAAGGTATTTGTATTTTAATCATCTTATTGTGTTGCAAGTTCAGGTACTTGCTCAAGTGCGCGCTCTTGATTAACTGAGACCTGTCACCTACGCTCTTCGTCGATTGCCTGGTTTTTTTTCAACGGACTCAAGAAATGCGGCGTAGACAACAGTGTTTGAACACCGTTAGTGTGTCCCCGTCCTGCTTTTGAGACGGCTATCTCTGCAGCGTATACTGTACGGCAAATCAAATACCCCCCTTTGGAGTGTGGTCAGAGATGAAACTACCAAATCTTGTAAAAGTGTGTTCCGCTTTAGAGGTGTAAGTGCCATGCTGAACACGGCTGCACCATCACTTAGACAATCTAAGCAAGCTTACAACCAACTTGGCTGTGCATTATCGTCTGTGTAATCCAAATCAAACAGCTAGCTGCCTTGGTGCACATTGGTTCTGCAATCTTCGCGTGAAGACGGCCGTTCCACTATTTTCTGTGGTGAAGTCGGTCTTAAAAGAGCCGGTGGCTTCGGCGATTAAAATAAACAGATCTTATTAATGAAATATACTTCATCGACGCATAATTTATGGAGTGGGAGCCAAAAACCGATATAGTCTTTCTTGAAGGTCGGAAAACGTCGTACTGAAGAGTTTCAACAAGTGATTAGTTTAAATTGAGATCCTCGACTTTGAATCGTAGTTATTCAGAGTTCGAAAAGCCGTAAATCGATTTTATTTAAATGGCGTTTTCTGAACTGTTCTATTTTATATGAGAACCGAAAAAAGCAAAACATCACAACACCGATATTGCATTTACCGACAGCAGCCACAGACTTATTGTATCATATTTTATTTCACAAATGGCTTTATCGTAATCCTTATGACAAAGAAAATACTGCACGGTTTTTCTCGGCGAAAAACTGCCGAATGGTCCTGACTAAAGCAGGTGGATTTAATCGAATGATTGACGACCGTTGTCGTTAGCTAACCAAAGCCAGACGCGTGAATTAACGTGTCTGTGTGCAAAAACTGCAGTTTATTGGGATCAGCGTTCAACTCAGCGGATCTAAAGCTCTTTAGACGGAGTCAAACGGGTCTCATTTCCAGTTGTCCCGAGAAACGTTTGTGAGCCTCATCTTGGAGCGCTTGGAATCAGTCTACCAAGTACCCTGGACATGGTAGCTGGGACTCACTTTTTCACCCGGTTACGACCCCAAGACAATCCCATTCTTATGTCAGTTGCAACTTCCATACGCTTATCTAGGTAGGTCATTCTATCAATTGCATTATACTTCTAGCGGTTTTGACACAACAATTGTTAATTCTACTCGAGAAGGTTTTTACCTCGTGTAGCTATTTTGAATTTAAAATGCTAGTAACCAGAGCTACGACAGAGGTACTACACGGGTCTTGCTTGAACACATTCCCGCTTTAAATTAAGGTAATGAGTCCCTCTGAATATATCAAAGCTTGAATGTAAATTTTATATTTTCCATGACAATATGTATATATAAGCAATTTTTTGGTTTCCGAATGTGTCCCTGTAAGCCATATTGTTAATGTGCATAAGATGCCATAGATTTCGGTGGCTGTGGCTGAAAGCCTCAGTGTGTTTTCGACAGATCACTCCACATTTGCACCTTGTGAGAGGTTCTGATATGACCGATTGTCCTTGATTACTTCTATTGAAAAATTCTTACTCATTGCCGTTACGCGACAGGGATGTTTTCTCATCTAAGTGAGACAGAGAAAACATCTTGGAAAACAAGGGGATCAATAAACAGTAGTTCATCTCAGAGGAGTGAGTAGTAATGTCCCGGACTCAAAAATGATCGAAAGGAGATTCACGAACCATTCCCACATCCTTCTGGTTCTGAAAACGGTCACCAACTTGACTTTTTCCAAAGAGCGTGTGGGCGAATGAGCTGAACACTGGCCCACAATGAATCACGAACTCAATGTCTTGTGAGTTCGCTTATTTCGTCGCACCCTCGGAGTGAGGTCCCTCAAGTTTCCCTATTACTCTTGTTTGAGAAAGAACGAAGTTTATGAATGGAAGCAAGCCGATTCGGATTTTGTGTGCTTTCAGTCTTATCCTAAGACATTCGGAAGATAACCTCAAAAATACAGATACAATACAATTGGACTCAATTTTAAACTTCAACATTGATCATTCTGTTTGAATATTCATACACTGTTTGAACTTGGAGAATACACAGCTCTTATGGATCAACAGACGTTTGTCAAATCATCTGGTGAAAATCGGTTTGCTAATTCTTATGAACGCATCTCATTATCGAGTAATGTTGCAAATTAAACGCAAGACTATTCGTTCATTGTCTGGTTTCACTTTTTAATTTGATCTGAATCCCATGTTAATCGTGCGTTTTCATCAATTAGAGGTGAGATTTCCATGACGTTGCTTAGAGATGTATGCCAGCCACAGTTAGCCATTGATTTTTTGTTTTTCGTTCTCTGTGCAGGTGATTACATACTCGTCCACTATGCTTCGCACTGCTGGCATCCCAGACGAATATAATCAGTTCTGCGTAACAGCGATCGGTGTACTAAATGTCATCGTCACCATAATTTCTCTTCCGCTGTTGGAACGAGCCGGACGCCGAACGCTGTTGCTGTGGCCAACCGTAGCTCTGGGCATTGCTCTACTTCTTCTCACAATTACGGTCAATTTGGCTACCAGTCTATCTGATGCGAAGGCTGCCCAAGCCCTTGGCATTATCTCCGCTTTACTTATCCTTGTGTATATCTGCGGATTTGCTATGGGTCTGGGTCCTGTGCCAGCATTGATCGTATCTGAGATCTTCCGCCAAGGTCCGCGCGCAGCAGCTTACTCATTGAGCCAAAGTCTTCAATGGCTTTCCAATTTACTTGTCTTATGTAGTTATCCAAGCATCAACGTGAGTGTTTTATTTTCATGTCATTCAATGGCATGCTGTTTTGAAAACTGATGCTGTTCTGGGCTTACATTCATTTGATTAATTATTGAGTCAAGTACGTATTATGGCGATAAACATTTTCCCGCCAACACGCTCGTTTAAAAATCGTAGTATGAATACTAGTCATCTGACTAAAAAGTATGGTATGATTGAGCGCAAGTCCTTTTCAACCCAAGAGTTAATTGCACGATTGTGTCGAAATTGATCATATGTGTGCTGTTCCCCTGGGATTCTTTCATTTTTATCTCCATGATAGGATCAAGGAAATCAAGATAATTCTCCTTTGAAGGGGGGGGGTACTTTTCATTTGTACAATAAACTATAAAACTTCTTAGTGAACCCGTTTGCAGTGGTTGACCAGGTCAAAAACTTACACTGCTTTAACCATCGGACATTGACCATTCCGGCTATACGTATTTTTGACATTTTTGTGCCATTTTTGTAAATGAATGAGTGAATGGATGAATGATATTTGTTATCCGTAATTTTACTCTTTGGTTATTCTGCGAGTTACTTCGCATTTGTCTGACTCTTCGATGCTTTTATGAACTCACTCGTCTGGCATTTCGTGTCACTTTATTTGTAACTGAATTATATGAATGAAACATGCGTTGCATTTGCTGGTAGTTTCATTTTGAGTAAAATATATACATTCCACTTGTGCGCTGTGGAAGTGGGTATGAGCTGGCTGTTGCTGAAACATGAGTGCCCACTTACACAGAAAAATGTAACATCAAGGTGAATCCTACGGTATCGAAATGTTGCCGTTGCAAAGTGCTTTGCAAATCTACAGACACGTACACGTTCCTGTCCTAGTACGTGAAACAATTGTTGTACATTTTAGTTAACGCATTTTATTAAAAATACTTACTATTTGAGACTACGGTGCGTCAATATAACTTTCGTACAAAAATGGAAATACCTGACATTTCCCAGGTGTGTATGTGAAAAATTTCCTGTGAACTATGCGTCTTCATATTTCTCTAACCTGTTTACAGTTATCTTTCCTTATACCTTGTTGAATCAGATCACTTCTTTCTGGAATGACTCAAACGTGTCTCCCAAGTTATATAAGGTGGATCAAAATTGCTACTGTTCTCATAAGCCACCTCAGTTCAATAAAACTTGGGCTTATAGGTGTATGCATGCTCTGTATGGTTGCAGTTGAATTCCAATTATTCAGCTTGTCAATACTGGTCTCCATGAGAGGAATATTCTTTTACGACGCAGGCACAGAATTACTTTTATATTGTTCAAGGTCGATAGCGACTTTGTGAACTCCGCTAATGGTCTCAAATCGTTTACTGCGAAATTCTAGATTTTTGATCGTCCAAATACAATAGAAAACTCACATTTCAATCAGCATTGCCACTCATCTTTCTTTCTGTCTAATACCAATAACCGCCCGTGGATACCAGAGTGAATGTTTGGTATACCGATCGAATAAAACATGTCCGAATCTCAGTATCGAAATTTCGAAACGTGCACGTGTCGCACTGTTTTGACAGACCGTTGTGTGAAACGTTATTTTTCTGTCATACTATATGCTTGGTCTTGCGGCAACTTGGTCTGACTTTATGACTAACCTTTATTCAGGTTAAAAAGAAATGTCGCTCCTTCATGCATACGTTTTGCATATTTATGGTATTTAGGCAATCAAAGACATAAAAAATATGTCACTGTTCCACAANATCTCATTTGCTTCACTTATATTGTCTTCGATTTCATATCGTTGGAGAGCCCTTTTTGTAAAGTTCTCATTAGTTACACACATGAAGACTATCTCCTTTATCTTTGTTATGTCAATCCTGATTTGATTGTTCCCTTTGCGATCTTCGTAATTTCAGGAGGCAATCGGCGGTTATTCGTTCCTACCCTTTTTGGTTGTCGTCGTGGTGTGTTGGGTATTCTTCTTTTTGTTCATGCCAGAAACACGACAGCGTACGTTCGACGAAGTGGCACGCGATTTGGCATTCGGTAACATTGTCGTTGGCAAGCGTACGGCCACTTTGGAGGACCGTAATATGACTGTGTTCACTAAACAAGGCGAACGAAACACATCGAATGCAGACCCCGCCACAGCACAACCTTTACTACGACCAAATGCCACCCCAATCGATCAAGCCTGATGCCGTTAATCGTCTTCTCGTTGTCACTCATTCTTTGACTTTGTTGTGTGACAGCTATGCCC